CCCTTTTTCCAGTGACTCCGCCTCCAGACTCCGCCTCCAAAGTCGGCCTTCCAGCCAAAAGTAATGCTCCCGGGCAAGTATCATGGAGTGGATGCATTCAATGTCTCTTGTAGAGTCATAGGGTTCATTACTGGGAATCAGCCGACGGGAATTCGTCCCAGCGCGCGGTCTTTTCGGTCTTTTACCTCTACAGTTGTTTGAGGCTAGAGGAGGCCTGACGAATGCGTTTCCAACGTTCCCTTTGGCATTTTCTCTTCATAGACGGTTCACTTGGCGAATTTTCTTCCACATTTCTGCAACATCACCTAGGCTTTTTATCGCGGACCGTGCCTTTACACTCCGACCAACTCCCTTTCTTCGCCTTATGCATGTATAAGCGTATTCCATGATGTTATACATAGGGCATTCTGGGTGGGTTTTCTGGTGTTTTCTTCAATTTCTGTATCATTTACCATCTTGTTATTGGCAACTGTGCCACACAACTCACCATTATTTGAAACTGTTTCTACAGTTGAAAGTAAGTAGCAAATTTCTCCGTAACTGGGTTCCATGCTGTCTCGTTAGTTCTTTTGGTACTCCTTACCCTTTACTGTCTAACTCTTCGGAAATCAGGCCACATTTGGATCTGAGCTTTTTCCGTGGGAGTTGGCTGGAATTTTTCCCAACCTAGTTCAACCTTCTGGGTATATTAATATTTCATCATATATTGATATAATAGCAAATGCTTGACTCGAGACCGCCTGGCGCCCGCCTCACTCGTCAAACACCTAGTCTGCTGGAACTTCAGCTCGCCACAAAAAAGCTTGGAGCGTGGTGGGGCGCCGGTCAAAAAAATGCCGGTTACTATGGCCACAAGACGTTCTGCATATGGGTAAATTTTTTTTCTGGATTACGACCCTCACTTCCCCACTCACCATCCCATTTACCATCTCCTCAAGTTTTCTCATTTTTCCAGAGTTTTCCCAGTTTTTTTTATCTGGAAATTCTCTGCTTGACCAAAAAAATGCCGCCGAGCGCGTAGAAGTAGGGTAGAATGGCGTACTTGAGAGCAGGAAAAAACCGAGAAAAGTCAACAACCAAACACGTGTTCCTTGAATGGAAATTCAACCGCCCACGTAAGGGATTCCCCAACGCCCTGACTGTTGGTGCGAGCACCAGCCGTTTTCGCTTCAAGTGGATGCAATATTCGCCTTCGGGTTCAAAATACCCTCAGGTTCAAGTAGCACGAGAGGAAAATTCCGGCCAGAATGTGGCTATTTCTGATGAGTGGGCCAATAAAGGGTTAATAATGCCGCTCCTTGTTATCCTGTCATGAACACTACATAGGTAAATATTTCTTTTTTATGATAAATACTACATATTATAACAATATGAAACACATGATAATAAATACAAAAAAAACTTCAAAAAACACCAGCTGACTTCGACATAAAACACAAAGAGGAGATATTTACAATAAATACTTATACAGACAATGAACATATCTCGGCGCACTTCGGCCAAAGGGCGGGGAAGGGGGGGGGGGCATTTTGCACTTTCGCTGCTTCACGTTGTCATGCTCACTGCTTTACAAGATTTGACAGGTATTCTTTACAAGGGCTGACAAGTAATCTCCACAAACTTTGAAACTTTGACTGGTATCACAGCATGGCTTCACAAAATTTCGCAAATCCATACATAGTGGCTCGACATGACAATGGAAGGCAGCGGAAAGACTAAACCCCCCCCTAGCCGAGCGCCCTAACCTTAATGTACAGGATCGCTGTGCACTTATAGTGCTCTTCCATTGACCTGCTCGCTAAGGCTATTTTCATGGCCTATTGAAAAAAATTGCCACACCCATAAAAAACTATCGATCACCATGAACATACTGGCGATCCTAGAGGGGTGTGGCTAGTCCCTGAAGTGCTCTAGGAGTCCACCACAACTATAAATGAGGTGAACGAGCCGCTCTCAACACCAATCGCATCGCAGCCCATGCGTCTTCGGCGCTGTCGTGGCCGCCAACTGGAATTTACACTGGATTTAGAAAAAAGATTGCTGGAAAAAATAGAAACAATACAAATTAAACTAGGTAGCAAGTCTGTTAGGGGGGCATCTAAGGAACTTTAGGCTGCGTTTATACTTTGCGGCAGCGTAGCGTAGCGTAGCGCAGCGTAGCGTAGCGTAGCGCAGCGTAGCGTAGCGCTTCCAGCGTACGCCAGCGGCAGTGCCGAAGAGAGGATGCATATCGATCTAGCTTCACCAGCGTCACCGAAGCGCACGGTCTGGCGTACGCTTAAGCGGCACGCTAAAGCGTAGACGGCAGCGTGTTTCTGCACAGCGTTTCACCCAGCGTTGTTTGCTACAGCTTGCAGTCGGCAGGGGAGTAGAGACTATGGGAGAGCTGGAGGGTACAAAACTCATCGATTGCGCGTCTCCCACTCGCCCTTAGTCTCTACAATGCACATCGCGTCTGCGTCTCCGACGGCCCCATAGTCTCTACGATGCACATTGCTTCTGCGTCTCCGACGCCACATAGTCTCTACAATGCACATCGCTTCTGCGTCTCCGACGGCCATATGGTCTCTACAATACACGTCGATTCCGCTTCTCTCACGGCCACATAGTCTCTACTCCCCTGCCGCTGCAAGCGCTAGCAAAACGCTGGTGAAACGCTGGAGAAACGCTGGCGTACGCTAGCGTACGCCAGCGTGCCGCTGGTGACGCTGGTGAAGCTAGATCGATATGCATCCTCTCTTCGGCACTGCCGCTGGCGTACGCTGGAAGCGCTACGCTACGCTGCGCTACGCTACGCTACGCTGCCGCAAAGTATAAACGCAGCCTATATCGAACAATAAACCACGCAGATCGGGAAGATGATGATTTTGCTTGCAAAAGGAATGGTTTTCAACTCGTCATGGAGACATAGGACTGGATATCATACACAGATAGAACATATAGAGAGATACAGAGAGAACTTTTGGATGCTGACTATAATATAGATTTAACGGGGTTCTGTTTTGTTATGAGTGTACCAGGATCACCTAAGCGAAGAAGAATATATATCATGGAAAAAATAAGAGAAAATATAGATATACTAAAAAAGATGGAAGTGATTGGCATGTGGAGCTAACATGGCGCTGAGGCAGGTGGAATTGCTAGTGCCCACCATCACGTAGTAAGCAACTCGCTTCAGCAGCAGAGGAAACGGTGGCGCCTCTGCCGGTTTCTCTCTTCATCTACAGTAAACTACAGTAATCAAGGAAACTGCTAGCCCATATCGATTTCTTCAATTACGCTACCACCTGACTGGATTTCCTCATGCGATTGGTTCTCGTGCAAGCCGACTTCAGGCTCTGTTTGAAACACCTTCTAATCAGACAGCCCGGACCTCGCGTTCTCAAAACACGCTGATAAGCCCGGTACTGTACACAAATATTAGTTGGAAAATTACTTGTTATGCTTGTCTCTAACCTTTTATTTGCTGGTGCATGATGCCTTTCGAAGGCAACCCACCTTTCGAATATCATGCATAATTTGGTAGTAAGATGATCGGGCAGCGCCAGGACCACCTCTGCGCCATGCTCATTGGTGCGAACCTCCATTTAGTCCCTTGAAAAAGGAACGCACCGATAAAGAAAGCACGTATAAACCTAATTCTGACTCAGACACGCCCAGCGTGGTCGTGCGGGTTGAAAAGAGGCAGACGTGTCGTAGGCTGTATTCAAAGGTATTCTGGCTCAAAAGTCTTGCGCCCACCTGATGTGCAGACGCTGTCCTTGGACAACACGTATTACCGCTCGCGATCACTTTCGCGGCTCAAGAAATACGTGATAAAGAGAGTACTTGTTCATGACGAAGGCAACGCTCCGCCCACTGCCCCACACTACACCCCGCGGGATTCCAGACAGCTACACCGTGTTGTAGAATATCGCAGATTTCTCCTGGAGCTCGCACTTTACTGTGAGCACAACTGTTTGAGCACTTCTTTCCGGAGTGCATTCAGCTTCGCTTCAGCCTCTGTTCCATACAATCACGAATGTAACTCATGTAATCAAATTTTCGCTCGCACTTTGATCCAAAGCTACACTCTAGTCAGAAACAGTCACCCGTCTGCAACCAAGATGACCTGCCGCTTGATAGAGTGCGTCAGACAGAGCACTTCGTACGTGGGAAATTTTCAGCGAAGGGGAGGGGGCTGCGCTCGTAGTTGTTCGCTGGAGGAAGAAGTCATACTTGCTTTCGAGAAGAATGTCTTTGTCTGTTGGTTTTTCTCTGCCTTCCCTGTCTCATGTGCGCCATATACCCTCTAACCCTCTCCTACCTCCACGCTCGACGGCACTTTTTTGAGTAGGAGAAACTCCGGAAAATGGGAGAGAAGATGGGAAAATTCAGGAATGTGGTAGGTAATGGTGAATGAGGAAGGGATCACCAGACTCCCTTCCTCATTCTCCACCCTACCTACCATAGGAAGAGACGAAGTCGCGCGGGGGCGTTGTATTCTTCGAAGAAATTCTTAACGTCAGGACGCTCCCTGGTAATAGGCGATGTTCATGGCCAGTCTCAGGTATATAATGTATTAAGTGTGAGTACTTTTCCAAATATAAAACAAAACTTACGAAAACAAAACGGAAGGTGTCAATCACATTATCATGAACGATTCGTAGAGCTTTCAAGTCGTTTTCAAGGGCATGTCCAATCAGCAGCGTTTCAGAATTGATCATTTCAAAGAGAACTTCTCGAATCTGGAAATCGAGAAATTCGAATATTGAACACACTTGTTTGCTTTTGAGGTTCAAAATAAACGTTCAAAATTATCTCCAATTTGACGTGGAAATGAACTGGAAATGTATTGTTTTGCCACTTACATTAACTTCGAAGTATAAATTCGCTTACATCACTGAGCGTCTGGTCGGTGTTTTGGATGTCTTCGACGGTCAAACCCGAATATCGGGTATTCGGATCGACAAGCTCGTGTTCCGGTCGAAAGACACAATCCATCACTTCGTTACCGTAACTGTCCACTACAGTAATCCGAGCAGCTTCTTTGCCAACTGTGGTGTAGACAAACTCGCAGTCGAGGGCGTAAAACTGAAAAAAGACACTTCAATATGAAAACGGGAGAGAAGGTTTATCTAGACTCACCGCATCGGATCGAGGATCCGATGGACCTGTCGGCTCAGGGGTGGCATGGAATTCAAGCAAAACAGATTCCCGCATGGTATCCGTCACATGACTGTCAGAATGTTGACAACCGGCTACTCCTTGTGCTCGTCCACAGCACGGATGAATTCGTACATCTAAACTACCAGATTATAACTACTGCAATGAGCTATCACCTTCACACATAGTAAAGAATCAAAAGGCGCGGTTTGGTCTGATGGGGGCAACAACAGCCACTCAATGAAAGTAATCCAGGCCACCTAGTGAGGACCTGCAAATTAATGTAAGCAAAGTGGCTGGCTCACTTTTCCGCAGCTTCACTGAGTTACACAGTTTCAACAAAGTATAACCTGTAGAAAAACATGAGTAGCAAAATGGAACTCGCGAAAAAGTGCAAAATGCCGCCTCCGCTCAAGCCAAATGCGCCAAATTCTTTTTCTTTTTTAATTCATCCCATGAATTAATTCCGACAGCTGTTTTTTGTTGCAGATCGCGTATTTTTTTTTGTTAGGTCGGGAAGGCATTGATCATTTATCGCTTGATTTTTTGAGTGGTCTTTACCCCATGAATATAACTTTCCAGACATTACCTGAGGAATATATCGCCGGTTCTGCGTGGTGTATGCAGAAATCGACCCGTTTTCTGCATAGTGGCAGTCGATAATGGGCGTGGCAACGCACGCATCTGCGTCGCGTGTCTACAAAATCAATATAAAATCAGTGAAGAAGTAGCCAAAAGTTATCTGACATTTCCACATTATAGCTAATTATAAATGAAAAATAATCATACCATCATCTGGAATGAATTCCCTCCGTCCCGTAATCGTGTCGAAAAAGCTTGGCTCTACAACTGCTGTCGTTCGGTCACCGTTTTTCCACCGTGGAAAACTGCACATGAGAAAATTCAATGACTCAAAAACTCCCTGATAAACTGAAAGTAAATAACACCTGTTGGCTACTAGTTGTTCTTCGGTAAGGCGCATATCCCTCAATACCGTAATGAGAGATTTCGTGTCGAGATCATTTGGCGGAGACTTTTGCCGCTGAAAGCGACACATCCAGTTGGAGGTGATCGGACTGCCACCGACACTGATTGGAGTGAAATGTGGCGTTGAACCGACAACGTGCAAGTGAAGCAACGATTGACTTAGTCGGCTTGTCGGACCTAAAGACCGCCTATTAGATTAGCTCTCTTGACTGGTAAGAAATATTGAGGTTAGGTTTTGTAGTAGATATAACAACAAGGCAGCGTGCACAATAGGTGACAGCTGGGCGTGCGGTCGCGGAGCGACACCCACTTTTCAAGCGCTGTTCGGCCTAGGGGCATTTTGCTTTCGTTGGTTCCTCTTGCTTATACATGTTAACTAACAGGTTAACACCTGTAAACTCTTGGAACAGCGGGATGGTACAAGTGAGCCATACCAATTGCAGGAATTCACAGGTCTTCACGAGGTGGCTTGTAAAAGCTTCGCTATGCACTACTTGACCCCCCCCCCGAACCAACTGAGGCATGTTCTAATTGCGTGATCCCTTTCCGGCTGTCTCGCTTGAAAATAAGTCAGTTTCTGCCCTCTGCCTTCGTGTCTGCCAACCTCCTTGCGCGTCTCGCAGCACACGCCCATTGTTGCCCTCAGATATTGATTGTAGATCAGAACATGGTAGCCCATTTGGGCAGGCGTAGGGAAAACAGGTTCAACAGAAAAAAATTGCATGATACCACCCGCTACAGTATGAGACGCTTCGCCGCTTACCGTTCCCCAATACCGTGCTGTGGCTAATGATTGCGGCGCGAATTTTTTTTTGGCGTGTTACTGGTACTTGAAGGCATATTCCGCGATAACCAATCGGGAGGGGAGATCTGTCACAAGTACCAGTTCTTTCTCATTGGTCAGTACGTTCTTTTACTACGGTGAAGCGGAAAGTGCTTCAAGGAAGCACAAGGCTCGTAATGCTTGCCCTCCCAACGGAAGCGGAATCTGTCTTTAAGTCCCTAGGAAACCCTTTAAAAATCCTTTGAGATCCTAGAATATATTGCGAATATAGCACGCTAAGTCAAAGCCAGTAGATCAAAAGCAGACCAAAATGGCGCGCTGAGGAATTACCTTGGTAATAAAACGAAGTAGTAGCAAAAAGCGATCGATAATACTGAAGTAAGTGAAAAGTGAAACTCACCAGGAAGGGGTAAATCTGGCGATGGTGGAAGAGGAACACCTGGCAACGGTGGTGGTATGAATAGAAAATCCGTTGTATAACGCATCATCATTTGAGATGGGGAGGACTTTGAAGCGGTAGAAAAGCACAGAATCGACTTGACCTTATTGATTGATGGCTAGGAAATGAACTGAACAATCGATCTGGGAGAATTATTTTCGAAAAGAACGAACATCGCAATACAAACAACGGGGGTGATGAGACGTCTGCGAGAAAGTAAATGAGGTAAGCCTATCGATCGGGTCGATCGATGTGGGTTTGCCCCATATTTGTAGATAACACTAGACCTACGTGTGTTCCCAATGAGTTTATTGAGGACACGTTCGTAAGCCGGAAACCACTTGGAAACGTGCCAAGGGCTATAAATAGCAGTCATAGATGACGCTTCGGTTACTTGGAGGTTTTCTGGCTGGTGTTGTGACATCAACGATAAATAAAATGTAGTGGTAAATGATAAGATAAGTATTAATTAATTATCGATCGTCTGTATGATGTCATAGAATATCGATCGTCTCTCTGCATTTTCAAATTTGTAGCGCTAACCCGAAAAAACTTCTCGCTTGGGAACCTATGACATCTACCGTATCTCGAACCCTAACAAAAAAGTCAACGATGAGCCATCACCTTTTCTTGGAAAGTACTGAGGTACTAAATTGAGCTATTGAGTGAAATGGTAGAAATGTCAAATGACAAATCACACCAAGAGGAAATGAGAGCTGCTTGGCTCGGAAGGGGCATATTGCACTATTGCTGATTCCTTCTGCTGATTCGT